TGTGGATCCCAATACCCCAGTGCAGTGACAGGGACACTGTGGCCAGCAGGGGAGCCCGTCCTGAGGTCTGTGTGGATCCCAATGCCCCAGTGCAGTGACAGGGACACTGTGGCCAGCAGGGGAGCCCGTCCTGAGGTCTGTGTGGATCCCAATGCCCCAGTGCAGTGACAGGGACACTGTGGCCAGCAGGGGAGCCCGTCCTGAGGTCTGTGTGGATCCCAATGCCCCAGTGCAGTGACAGGGACACTGTGCTGTAAAAATGGTGCCGTCCTTCGGATGAGACTTAAAATTGATGTACTTACTCTCTGAGGTCATAAAACATCCCTGGATATCTTTCAAAAGAGTAAGGGTGGTGCCCCGATGTGCTGGCTTTCAAATGTGGCCTCTTAATCATCCCCTCTATCAAACTGGTGAATCCCCTCCTGCCCCTTCACCACCTTAGCTACTTTGTGGTGAGCGTACTGGTGCAGAATGTCTGGTGTGGCATCATCCAGGTGGGGGCAGCACAGTGGGGGTGGCTGAAGTGGCTCCCCCTTGGTTCTGTAAAGTGCTTTGGGTGTCTTGAAAAATGCCATATAAATGTAACTTTCATTCATTAGTCCTGATCATCACTTATTCCTGATGCTGTGCTCACTTCATATGACATTCAAACTACGACAGCAGGGCTGTCATCCCCTGTGACCTTTAACTTTCTCCTACAGACCGGAACTGTGACTTGCAGACAGTAACTATCCCCTGTGTAGAGCAATTATCATCTGTGGAGAGCAGAGTATTGCAGATGCTTCCAGAAGAGTCTAGCTGTCCCCTGCAAACTGTAATTATCCCCTTTGGACAACAGACCTAGCGTGGTACAACACAGAGAATCCCAATAAAGTGAATCGTTCCCAGTTGTAAACCAGTCGCTATGGTTTATGAGGACGCTGGTGACAGTGGGTCATGCTTAGTGGGGGGGGGGATTGCTGGGGAGCGGACTGACGCTGCGTGAGAAACACAAACAGTGCCGTGGCGACAGGAAAGGCAAATACACATTAAAGGGGAGCTGACAGGAGATGGGAGAGGGAAGGAGAGAGAGGAGGAAGTACGGGAGAGAAAGGGGGCGTGTGCTTCAGGGGGAGACAGGAAGTGCAGCTGCTGGGTACAGGCTTGCACTTGTTTACATCACACCAGGCCCGGATTCCACTGCAGCCCAAAACCCAGTCAAATGTTGTTAAAACATGATTATTTAGTCCAAAGGACCTGACACCCGCCCCCCCGCCCCCCGCCCCCAGGCCCTCCACAGTTTTTCCCTCCCCAAGGTCCCACTGCTCTTCTGCATCCTCTTCTTGTCCTGCGATGTTTACATTCCATTAAAGTATAACGAACCCCGGATGGGTGGAATGACAGTGTGGCCCAGAAGGACCCAGAAGGTTCCGGAAGGGTCCAGGCCGCCACATCACAGAGCTCCTGCTGGCTTCCCCCGGCCGAGACATTTTTTTGGGGATATCCAGATGAAGGTTCATTCGACCATGTGCCCTTCAGTACAGGGGGGGGGGGCGAAGATGTCTGAGGCAAAGGAGATGAAAATATCTCACCAATGTTGCAATAAACCACAGACCTCCAGGGTCCTCCAGTGGTGTGTTTGATGCTTCTAACCCCCCCCCCCCCACAATCAACAGCACATCTTCTCGGATACACTGATAATAATCAAAGCCTGTTTTTTTAAAATATGCCGCAAATATGTGGGGTATGCTGAGGCCACACCCCCCTTTCTTCCCTTGTGTGTGGCTCTGTGTTTTCTGGGTTGCAGGGGGGTCCTCCAGCTGATCAGGCTCCCTCCCTGCACAAAAAGGTCCACATAGGTAAACTGGCGTGTCTGAAAGGTCCTTAATGCATTATGTGTGTGTGTGTGTGTGTATGTGCGTGTGTGTGTGTATGTGTTTATGTGCGTGTGTGTGTGTGTGTGTGTGT